ACTTCGTGCTGAGCGTCGGCTCTCCTCTGGAGAATGCAGTGAGCCGCCGGACGGTCTTCAGGCCCACGTCCGCCAGCGCGCGGTCCACATCAGCGCTGCGGCTTGCAACCTGGCAACCGTCTTAGTCTTAGACAGTCTTAGACGCCTCGCTGTTCCAGAGCCCACGACTCGACCTGCATTCATGCAGCAGCATGAAGGATGCAAGGGAGGGGCGTGGACAATGCAGAACTTGCCCTCGTCGGACAATGATCTGGATGCGGTCTGCGCGAATTCGCGCGGTCCACCCCGCAGCTCATAGTAGCAGTAACGACGCTGGCTGTGGGCCGGTAGCTTCCTGGAAGCGGTACACGACCGTTGGACGAAGAAAAGAGGCAAGAAGTCCGGCCTGTCACCAGGCAGGATGTACGGCGGGTTGGCGGTGACCAAATCATACTTGCCCTGGAGGCCCTGCACGATGCCTGCACCAAGAAAGAGAACTCACGCAAGAGGGAGCCGCTCCGTGAATACTTGGGCTCTTGGCCTTCATCCCGCAGATCACCGCGGATAACATGCACTCGAGGCTCCAAGCCCAGAAGCTGAACGCTTCGGTTGAGAAGTTCGACGCTCTCTTCTTGCGCCTGCACCGTGACATGGGGGTTTCCGAAAATAGGGGACCCCAGTACCCTAAATAGTAGGATCCTACTAGTTACGGTCCTAAATTAGGGTCCCTATTTTCGGAAACCCCCATATCTTGCAAAGCATCGCAAAGCAATACGTCGGCACCGACCTCCAGAGCCGTTAATCGCGAGAGCACCGGCTGTTGGGCGAGCCAGAAGAGGCCAACGGATCCAGTCCCCGCCTCAAACACGGCAACTCTTCTGGGTCGAAAATCCCTCCTCTCTTAGAGGGCCAGGGCCAGAGGAAGCGCTTTTTGACCGGACTCTAAGTGGGCAAAAAAAACGCCGGGCCACGCCCAGATCAAGCAGGTTTCGTGCAGCGGGCGCCGCACGCCAGGCTTCCCGTGCAAGGAGGATATCATCACCGTTGAAGCGGTAGCCACCCCGAACCTGATGTATGGACCTTGCAGTCGCAGAGAGAACCCAAGTTGCGATGCAAGCTTCGAGTTGAAACTGTCTACACTCTACACATTGCTCGAGCTAGCGATCCAGACCGATCAACGGATTGAAGTCCCGTGTCGCGGCCGAGAGGCCAGCCACGGCAGAGCCGATCCAGCACTACCGGTTTGCCAGATGCGGTTGTAGTGAGCTGCACTCCGTGGGCACACCGAACCTGAACATTTTGCAGATGCTCGAGCCGCGTCCCCTCCTATCCCACGTCCTCACATGGTTCTTCCAGCTATCGAAGCCTAAAGGCCTTTTGATTGAACTGCTCGTGTACAAGTGCGTCGCCGTGACTCTCTGCTCTACTCGCCTTACCTGAACCTCAAGAAACTTTGCTGGTCTGCGTTGCAGTCACGCACCCGGATCGTCCCAGAACTTGGCATCTTCGCTGAAGCGCTGTTGCACTTGGACGGAGGAAGGACAGCATAAGCTGGCATGGAGCAGCGACCTGACATGGCGGCAAAGCGAATCAGAAGCATGAACCATCACCAAACCAGAGACAGGATAGCATCTGCAGCCCAGCCTTATCATCGATATTTGCACATCCAAGGCACACAGATGCCCCAAAGAACTAGAGCCAGGAGATAAAGGCCACTCGGCAAGTGGCGCATTCTCCATAAACCGACCGAGCGCCCAGACTTCTACGGACATCGCACTGGATACGTTGATGTCACGTCTAGTCGAGTTTCGTGGAGAATCTCAAAATTACATGCAAGCCATGTAAACTTCCACCGTCGCCGTTAGATAGCTGGGGATTCTGTTCAGAAGTCATACTATCCCATGAAAGATGCCGACATTGGCCAAAAGATTGGCTTGTTTGTACAGGCACTGCAATATACACGCATGCTATTATCTACTAGTGTATACTATTAAACAGAGTTATATACTGTTATGTACTATGATATGCTAGTATGTACTCCTATATACTATTATAGACCAATATATATATATATATATATACTATCATATACTACGCTGGCGAGGCTCAAGCCAGGAGCTGCGCACGCAAGTCCGAGGCGAACGTGGCATCAGAGCACTCAAAGCACTCGAAAGCCCTTGGAGCCGAACACCGCCGAGGCCAGAAGCAGCGAAGGCCAAAGAAGCCAAGTCGGCGGGGCCTCGACTCCAAGACTCCTAAAAACTCCAAAAACGGCAAGCGTCGTTTGATCCGCCAAAGGCCCATGGAAGAGTCGAGCATCGGGTGCTTTGCTCTTTGCAGAAACATGTATGTCTTTGGCTTTCCTTTCGTTTGAGATCGTCGCGAAAGGAATTGTGGCTTGTTTCCAAGTATCATGACTGTTGCAAGTCAAAATCTGCGCTGAAAACGACATGACCAACATCCGGGGCTCTAGCCAAAACGAGGATCGCGAGCGCATCCGGCGGTCCCATCGGCATCGTCATATTCACCCAATTGCGTTTCTGCGGGTGCTGCAAAGGACACCAACCGTGCTGCTGGCTTCACGCTCCATATCGGGCCTGCTTGCTTGTTCCATGCCAGAGGTAGAGGAGCACCTGGCAAGTCGAGACTATGAGCAACTGCTTGGACTCACGGTAAGTCGGGCCGAGGCGGCTCCCCAAACGTAGGGCAGCAGCATGGCTCGGCCTGGAATGTCGAGCCTCGGTGCAACAGGGCCCTCCCGATCACACGCCCCTCTCTATCTCTCTCGCGATTCACCGCCCAGGCCGCCGCAGAGTCGGAGCTGTCACCACATACGCTCGGAGGAGCATCAGGATGCCGAAGAAGATGTGCCACGCTGCGTAGCCCCTGAGCATTCGGCGCTGGAGGCTGTGGAGCCTCTCGTGCCACTTCGTCTCCCGCGCAGTGGCTTCACTCCGCTGCGCAAGTAGCGCTTGCCGATTCACTTTGCTCGTCGCTGGGTGCAGAGGCAGCCGTGCCCAAATGTGAGGTCTCGAGTTACCGGCAGCAGGCTTCAGTTTTTGCATTACCTTGTCCAGCACAGCCGTAAGTGGTGGACCTTCCCGAGCCTTTCCAGCTGCATCACGCTTGTCTTCCAGAACCAGGTAGGCATCGGTACTGCCATCACAGGCAACAAGCGCTGCCGCTGACACGCCCGGAACCTGGGCGACTAGCAAGTGCATTGACTTGAAGCCCCGTGATGACCCTAACTTTCTCCGATGTGGTTGTCTACAATACACAAAACTGGTTAAGACTGATCTGCACCTGCCACCTGCTACCTGAGCGCCTTCATGGCTGGCCAGTGCTTGCTGAGACACTTCTGCGGCTGCGGCCTCGACTGCTTCAAGATCCTGCCATGCGCCGCCAGCCTTTGCTAAAGAATCGGTTCGTCCGAGATATACAAGACCACGACCACCAGGAACACGCTTGAGTCGGTCGCGAGTTCCGTAGTACCGTTTGGCATCGAGGTAGCGAAAGTTGGGGCAGCTGATGCGGCCGTCTGCCCCCACGTAGCCAGCAAATACCGTCGGGCCTGCCAAGAACATTTCGCCGCTCTCCCCGACCTCTGCCTCCGAACCATTTTCCTTTAGCAGCTTGATGTCGAGGTCGGGTAGGGGCTCCAGAACATGACGCTCCATGCCGTCATCCGGATCCTTCCACGTCGGACATCGAACCGATGAGAGGCAAAGCCAGTACTCGGAGGCAATGAGTATCTCGATGACAGGTAGGTGTTGAAGCCATTCTTTCGCCAGCTTGGGTTGAATCTTTTCTGCCCATGCGATAAGCACCCTCAGGCTTCTTGGTCTTGTGCTTGGTCCACCGGGCCATGCCCCTCGCAGTTGCGATGGCACAATGCCCAGCACCGAAACTTGATGCTCCTCACAAATGCGTGCAATCTCCTCCGGGACGCTCGCTCGTATAATTACGTTGCAGGCGCCGAAAGCCAAGGCGAGGTCAGCTTGGCCAAAGATGGCGGCACCCCAGTAGGCAGACGAGTACTGCAGCATCCTGTCCCGTTCGTTCGCCAAGCCACCCAAGGCCTTCTTGTACTGCTGGATCTCCCATAATGCCATTGCATGGGTTACCGCAACACATTTGCTATGACGTGTCGTGCCCCCGGTGTAGACGTAGCAAAGTACAGATTCCGGAGACGCACGAGCTGCAGGGTTCCGCCCATGACAATTAGAGCTTGATGTAACGCTGCGTATCTCTTGCAGCGAGAGCCTTAGACAGTCCTCCGGCTGGCAGGGCACTTCAAACGCCGAGTCGTCCGAGACCAGCGCCAGCGGTTTCAGCTCGGTGGCGACCCGCTTGGCCCTCTCAACTTCGGCCTGTCCACTTGGAAGATCGTTGCTCAGTGCAACAACGGGTATGCCCAAGATCCAGGCTGCAATGCAAGTGGCATACCACTCCCGACCCTGCCGCAGGAAAATAGCAATGGGCCGCGGGGCGAATTCTGTCGAAGAGGGGGCTTGCAAACCTCTGTCTGCGAAGAAGCAGGAGATGCGGCCCGCAGACTCCCATAACTGCGCGTAGTTCCAGACGCCAGTGCTGTCCAGCACAGCCGGAGCTTCCGGCTGCGTCTGTGCTAGTCGCAAGAAGACACTGCTGAGGCCATCCGCGGTAAGCATGGGCACAATGGCAGTGTTGTCAGCTTGGTTGTTGGTGGAAGTTGGTGGTTTGTCAGTGTCTGGCAAAGGTGAATTCCTCGCAAGGTGCTGTGAGTTGCTGTGGACGGAAAATCTCGGTGGGTTTCCTGGCTGTGGGCCACGGGCTGCCAGTGGTCCCCAATCTTGCAAAAACACACGTGCACGGAACCTACTCACACTGGGAGAGAGGGCATCCTTTCAGGGTTAAGATGGGGGTTTCAGAAAGTAGGGGACCCTAATATAGTACCCTAAATAGTAGGATCCTTATTATAAGGACGCCAAAATAAGGTACCCCTTACTTTCGGAAAGTCCCAGATGGGTCAAGGAAGGCTCCTTGCGAGCATCAGCCTTCCTGGCATTGAAGGCCATGTCAAAAAGCTCGGCATCCTGCACCCGGAAGTCACCAAGGGCAGACGTTGCCACAAGAGCTGACAATTCTGACCTAAAGTTGAGGGTTTAGGGTTCAGGGAAAATCATGACTGTCACCCTGATTCCCCTAGGGTTTAGGGTTTTGGGAATTTCATGACTGTCACCCCGATTCCTAGGGTTTAGGGTTTCGGGTTTAGGGGACTGTCACCCTGATTCCCACAGCTACCTGCTCACTCGCCAGGAAGGTCAGCTCGTGCTGCTCGAGGTCAGAGAAATACTCCCGAGCCTCGTCGGGGGGCCAAAGAAACCTCCCCCTTTTCCCCGAGCCTGTTCGTATCATAATAACATAAATAGAACAAAATATAAATTTAATGTTACAAAATGAATATTATGTTAACATAATATTCACAAAATATTCCTTTAATATTGGTATCATACTACTAAAATATTAATATAATATGAATATAATACAATGCAATATTGTATGATTTAGGATCTGAACTCCAGAAAAACCCAGAGCTCAAGCCCGAAAGAACTGTGGAAAGCGTGCATGAAGCTGCAGCCGCCTCTGCGGAGGTGCTGGTTCCCAGCCCCTTGTAGTACTTGCAAGCCCACCTGAAGCAAGGCTTCTGCGAGCCTCTATGACTTTTCCTGGTTCTACTCAGAGAGCCCAATACCCCTTAAATAAGGAATACACCTTAAATTATAGGGGCCTTAACATTATGATTTGAGGTATATTCCTTAATGAAGGGGTATTGGGCTCTCTGGGTAATTCCAGGCTGAGCTGTAAGGCCACGGAATCGCAGTGGCTGACATGAGACATGCCAAACCAGCCGGAGTCACCCGGCGCCACCGTTGTTAGCCCGTTTCCAGGCTTCGTACTCAGCCACCTTGAGATCCATCAGTGCGATCATCAAGCTGTAGGGCTTAAGCCTCAGAAAGCATCCGTATGCAAATAAGCAGCCGTGAAGAAGGTGACCACCTCATCACCCCTGCTGACCTGCAGGCAGTCTGCACCGAACTGCGCTCTCCCCTCCATGCTCTTGAGGGCTGAGACCTGTGATTCGTCCCAGCCTTAACAATCGGTGTCACGAACTCGCGAAGAAAGCCTTCGCACTGCAGGAGGCCAGGAAACCTGAGAATGCAAACTAAGGGCACGGGAAGATATCGAAAGACTGAGGCGAATAGGTTCGGGAACCAGTGCTCTATGAAGTTGATGACAAGGCCCTTGATGTGGGAGCCGTCGAAGTCCTCTAGTTTCGACAGTGTGATGCCTCATGTGAACGCGAGATGAAGGGGCCTGGTCCGTCATAATCATCAGGGAGCCATAACGCAAGCCGCTTGCGTCCTGCCCAACACAACTCATAACAGCTAAAGTAAGCTTCTTCAACTGAGCTGCCACTTGCAACTTGCGACTTGAGCAGACTGGGCTTTTGCCCGGCGCCGTGTACTTCTTCGACACGTCGAAGGCCATGATCTTCATCAGAGCCTCTATCTCCTCAGCACAGGAGTCAGGTACAAACCAGCTTCCTCAGCTGAGAAGAGCGAACGCGAGACCAGAACCTTGTTATCCATCATCTGCTTCTCTGTCAGTTCCCTGACGTTCCTGCCGCCAGGTCCACGCAAAAAACGACGAGACTCTGGCACCAAAGCGGCAAGAAGCGGCGCAGCAATCTGGTGAGCACAAGGGGCCTAAGCTTTCCTCTGAGTGGGAACACCCCGTAGTGATCCCGGCCTCGTACGGAAGGGACAGAGAAGCATCGAAAGGTTTGGCAGGGCAGCTCTGCGAAAGGAACGCAATCCAACGAAGCCCTCGCCTACGATGCTCAAGCCGGCTACTGCCAGAGCCTGTGGCCGAAGGAGGCAGATGCTCTCTCGCGAGCCACCTAACCCGCGCCTTGGCCGAATCTCCTTCCGTCAGGATGAGGGTGCAGTCCCGAGACTGCTTGGTGCCGGCCTTGTTCGCATCCTGCTGCCAACCGGAGCGGCACAATCGGAGCGACAGCAGAAATGCGTCCTCGAGCTTCGGTATTCCGAAGAGGCGCTTCTGAAGACCCAGATCCTGGCAAGATATGGCGAGCACGAAGCACCTATAGCCCGGATCCTTCGTGCTAGCCGTGAAAATCCAACCGCAGCCGTGGAGGTTCTCTGATCCGGCGCAGACTATCGCAGACTGTCGTGACAGAGGTGAGGTTCTCACATCAAAGAATCAAATCTTCAAACCTTTTTCACGCGGCACAAGGTCAGCCCAAGCGGAGCACGTCTGGCTGGTCAATCTCTGAGGAGCGCTGTGTCCCCGTGTTACCGGATGTCGCTTTTGACCTTAAGCATTGGGAAGTTGGGGGGTTGATGCTTCGGTTCCGCATGAGATCCGCGAGGAGCAGACACAGAGCCATACTTCTCATAGATCTCTCGCATTCGCCTCTTGTGCTCCTTCGACATGTAGGCTTTAGGCTTTCGGTCTCAGGAATTCTGGAAGAAGGACACGAGCACGGAAAGCGCACCTCTTCCTCTTCACGTGAGATCCTGCTCCTGATCTCGGTGTCAGAGGGACCCTTTGCGCCGGAAGATCGGGTCGAGCCTGGCAAGGACAAGATGAAGCGTGACCAGCGCAGGTCTCTGGGACCATTGATGTCGAGCATGTTGTTTAGATTTGTCTGTAGGCTAGCGGGAGGCAAGAAGGCTTTTTGCCAGCAGTGCTGTCGGCTGGGCTGTATGGGAAGCGATCTTGCTCCTGGGCATCGACCTGGTGCAGTGACTGAGGCCTCCACTATAGCTATGAGAGCCGCCGAGCATGGAGACGCGCCCTTCGGACCTCATCACAAGAAAAAAAGAGGAATCGGAAATGACTGAGGCCCGCGGTGAACAGAGGATGACTGAAGATCATGGTTACAACTCAGCGATCCACCCGCTTCCTCGCCACATCTCACCCTCGACGGTAGTTGGTCTTTTGGAGTAGGCCTTGCCCACACCAACCACTGCCTGGCGTGGGCCAACTGCGAGCAACGACACACCCTGAGGCAGTCCCGTTTGGTACCTCTTCCCTCGCTTTTTCTCGCAGCCTCTCGATCTCGCTGGGATCCATGGAGCCCTGCAGCGACTGTCAGGATGCTCCTAGTCTCGTAAGTCTCGTACATCTCTGGCCTTGCAGTTTAAGGCTTAGGGCTTAAAGGATTTAAGGTTTAGGGTTTAGGGTTTAAGGTTCAGGGATCCATTTCTGGCCTTGTAGCGAGCCCAATCTGGAGAGCTACCGCGACCTTGGACGCAGAGCCGATATTCAGCAGGAAGACCCTCGCAAGCACCGTTCTCCAATCCACTTCCACAGGGCTTCCCGCGTCTGCGGCTGCGGCTACGACTACCTGAAGACAGTCAGCCAACATCAGGGCAGGGTGTAAAGTTCTTTCCTCAGCGACCATGGCAGCATGGGGCTGAGACTGCCATGCTGAGCACTGGACGATGTCTGCTGCGGCTACGACTTCTACTGCGACTGCTGTCCCGGTCGTCCTTCAGACAGCAGGAAAGTCGGAAACAGCTTGTTGGACAACAGCGACGAGTCAACTTGTTTCGGGACGCGCCGAATGCCCAGCCTTCTTGTCTTTCTTTTTCTTTCTCTGGTCGTGGTCCTTTGTCGGGTTTATCACGTAAGAATCATCTCAGGTCTGCGGCCAGATGTGAGAGGAAACCCGCCTTTAAATGTCCAGAGTGGACGTTTATACTCGGCATGGGGCCCTGCCGGCTGCAGGGGGCTGCCCTGCCCTTAAGATTCAAGGTCAAAGGTGCTTCGTCCTTTGTCTTCTCCTCTTCATCGCCCTCCTTCTTCTCGTCCTTGTTCTTCCAGCAAGGATCAGTCGGATCGCAAAAGCGTGACAGCTTCCATCTAGCTTGCTGGATGTGAAAATCCACTATGACATGCGCTACGACCGTATGAGTGTTGAGCTGCAACCCCCTCCCCTGGCTGGTGAGGACCCCTCCAACCTGGCCAACCTGGGGGCCTTTCAGTGCCACGTCCCAGGGTCCGCCAACACGACCCGACAACAGGTCTTTTGCTTAGCAGAAACACACGGACCCATTTCCTCGTGCCGTGCCATGTGACGACCACAGCCTCATCTTTCTCTTCTTTGTCGTCCTTGTCTTTCTCCTTGTCTTTGTCGGATACTTCCTCGTCTCTCAGCACAACCTGAAGCCAGGGAAATTCGTGGGTCGCGGGACTAGGCTGCCGAGAGGTCTCCAACATCTCATGCGCTTCACCGGTTCAGTGGAGCGGTGCAAGGCGATGAGTTTCGAGAAAACCCACACCATTGATTCACTGTAAAAATCCGAGATTAAGAATTGCTGCAGCTCTGGATTCCGATCTGGTTCCAAAGCCTTTCCTTGGAATCAGGATCGCAGGCTCAGGCAATAGTGCCAGCTGCCGACTCTGGTCTCCGGGCTAGAAAAAAACTGTGTCGTGCCTTCTAACTCTAACCCTGCCATGAGCACATGAAGTGAGATGATGGCCCTTGAACGTGCCATGATGTGACCCCTCTGGTTGCTGCACCTGTCGGATTCCCGGCCTTTCCCAAGTGGGACTGTACCACAGCGCCATCGTCAAGTTGAATACTCACTTTGCGCTTGTGCTGGCCTTGCGGGGCGACGGGAGGAACTCTCTCTCCCAGATTTGGGGTTCGGCTTTGTATCTCACGGCATGAAGGGGCTTTCACGGGCGAGCTTCTTCGCTTCTTGCTCGAATCAGTCCGAAACAGAACTTGTCAGTCAGCAGCCACTGGCTAGCTTTTCTGGTGTTTGTTCGGGGCAGGGCCTCGAACATGCCAGAGGCCTGAACAAAAAGAGATTGTGGAGGGACAAGCCAATGCAGACTTCAGTTTCTTCGGGCGTGCTCCGAAAGTCCGCTCAAACCCGAAAATGTGATGGATAAAAACACAGACTGGAACTAACCCTCAGAAGGACCTCGTCACCCCCGGACAATTTCGATCCCGTGCTTACATGATAACCCAACTTCTTCTCTGACAGGCCCCTGATCAACAACCAAAACAGGGTCGAAGACACTCTGCTGGCTCGCCCTCGAAGCCTGAACTCCTTACACCAACCCAACACCCCTCTCCTCTTCTCCCACCTACAGACCTCTTGACCAATCCTTCGGTTGTACTGCTTTGGCGAGGCCAGAAGGCCCTTTAAACTTCAATCCCTAAAGCTTCCCCACAGAAGTCTGTCCATGGAGCTTGCAATGACCCCGCGCCGCGCCTACGTAGCTCTTGATGTGGCCGGGTAGCCAGTTGCCATCTACGTACACTTCCACGGCTGTGCCGGCAACCTCCGATCCAGCTTTCGGACCTGGAACCTGAGCCTCAATCCTTCAAAAGACTAGAGAAGAAAGCTGAGATGATCTGGGGGTCTCCGACAAGAGGGGACCCTAGTATAGCACCCGAAATAGTAGGATCCTTATTATGAGGACCCCAACATACGGGGCACCCCTTCTTTTCGGAAACTCCCATCTATTCAGCATCCCTGAAGATGCGATATGTGTCGAGTCGTTGCGGCACCAGGCTTTTGGGCCCTGAAACCGCACCGACCGGACCTTCTTTGGAGGCAGTTCCCTCTGGACCGCAGCCATGCGCTTGCGAAACCTGACAGTCTGCGAAGCTCCGGGGCGGATGATATCCAAGATCTACTACCCAATCAATATCTATATATATATATATATATTATTAGATATAACATATCGTATATAATGTACTGAAGACAGAGTACCTAACATATAATCTCGAATCTCGACGATGTAAGCTATCAAGCATTTGCCTTTGCAGTCCTGCCGAAGTCTTGGCCTCTCTGAGGTGAGGCCCAGGCTGTGAGAGGGGAGCGAGCTCTTTCTCCAAATGCTGCCGAACCTGCCATTTAGGGTTTAGGGTTTAGGGTTAAGGGTTTAGGGTTAAGGGTTTAGGGTTTAGGGTTTAGGGTTTAGGGTTTAGGGTTTAAGGTGCCAAAGCTGCAGTCTGAGCTCCTTAGGAGTTTAGGGAGTAGGCATGATGTCCCCTCCGGACCCACTGTGCGGGTGCCCATAGCTCCGGGGTTCTAGTTTCGGATCGCTTCCCGCGCGTTTCGGATCAGAGGGGGATGGTTTTGGCGCCCAGTTTTGGCACAGCGGGAGTCAGTTTCGGGACGGTCTGTTAGTTTTCGCGGGCCTTTGGTGGGCAGTTTCAGTCCGATTCTTGCAAGCCTCGGCCTGAAACTGACCAAAGGCATGAGACCGAAAGTCCCATCCGAAACTCCGCCCCGAAACTCACCGAAACTACCTGCAAAAACCCTGAAACTCATCTGAAAGACCATTGGAGAGGTCAACAGCAGCCAGTGTCCCTCCTCTGGCTGGCAGACCGGCCTTCACTGGAATTCTCGGCAGCGGAGTGTTGTAATATCTGTCCTTTGGAACCAAGCGACATGCACAGTCTGAAGATTGATGCGTGATGTGACCTCAACTGAGAACCTCTATAGTGCGGATATAGGCAACAACACCAGCACAAAGGCCGCAAAGCCTTGACCAGCAGATTCTCCACATACTCTCGAATGGTGGTCGTAACCTACCAAGCAAAACATCACGGGGGGCCCCAAGCAACACAAATACGGAGGTGGTCACCACTTGTGTTGGCTTGCATCTCAAGCCTGCTTGTCGCCATCAACATACTTCAACTCCTGGTCGTCAAAGAGGTGTTCGTCTAGCTTGTCCCACAGCTTGTGCGGAGGTACCTCGCAAGTTCAAGATGATGCAAAACATGAATTTCACCTGGACCCCAAAAACGCAGTCACAGATCACAGGGCACCACAAAGCGGACGTACAGGAAGGCGGCACAGCGAACCTGATGCAGCAGGCTAAGGTCTTCCAGACGTCTAGCCACTGAACAGCTTGAGAAAGCACACACGCAGGCAGGAAATACATATACTCCTCATTTCGGGGATCAAAGCACCTTGGCAGAAGGATTCGCATCCAGAACTGCCAAAAGCTCGTCCAAGTCTTCCGACTGCGGGAGCGTGAAGAGGCGATAGACCTTACAGTACGAACACAGCTGCGGCAAATCTCTTCGACACCCCTGTTGCTACAAGAAGGCCAATTGCAAACAACCGCCATGGGCAGGTAACTTGCACGTTCCTGCCTGACAAATGAAGCAGGAAGGATGCACGTTGTTCCCAGAGTTGTAAACGTCGAGGGTGTCGGCCTGGGCGAGCCGAGTGTTGAACACATGTGTTTGCAGGGAGGCGCTGCTATGTGGTACTGCGTGTCACAAAGCACAATGGCCATGTCAGCTCTGCAATCGCAAAGGGGTCGACGTACTTGGCGATCTCTTCTGTCAAGGGGTCGAGATCGCTGATGTCTAAAAGGCTCTTGAAGTAGCTAGAGCCAAAGATCTGGTCCTGACAAAGCTGTCTATGATCTTTGCCGCTGACGACAGAACTGACGTCACTGCATCCACCCCAGGTGTCCCAGAATCACCACCGGTGTTTATGGTAAGGCTGTCGTTGCAGCAAAACCGGAAGAACGATACTGATGCTGTATTGTAGCAATTGGCCTATGTTAATGACCTGACTTGACAACCCACCATGACCCGAAACGGTAAATGCAAAATCCAGATGCAATAGGGCGCACGGGAGCTGTCCTTGAGCAAGCTACTGCACTTGAAAGTCCGACGGGAGTAGTCTTCCTCGTCTTCCTTGACCAATGCACAGGTTGCAGCTGCTCGACGTTACCTACTTCAAGCTGAACAGTGTCAAGGAGCCTGGGTTTAACAAGTTGGATAAAGACCCATCACAACAAGCTACTTCTGGACACTCGCATGCCTCTACAACCCTAGCCGTGTAGTGCCGGCAACGAAACTTCCAAGCGCGGCAGCGCCTTTTGCTCCTCCTTGGGTTTGGATTTGTCTTCCTTGTGCTTGCTACCTCATCAACGAGAGTGACACAAGTGCCGGGTGAAGAGTGGCAGCAAACTGGTTGGTGCTGAAACCTAGTCATCGTAGGTCCTGCGGAGAACAGCAGGCAACGCGTCGCTGAGAGCCCGGCCGTCTTTGTCAGCCTGTGTCATACATCAATTCAAGCATATAGTAATAAAAAAAAATATACATATATATATCATAACAACGATTCTATTTCAACCACTAACCCGAGTACCGATACTGAGACGAATACAAATACTATTCCTAGTGCCAATCATGCAACTTGTAATAACAATGATAGCAATACTAAAACTGATAAATCATAATACTAATAATAATAATAATAATAATAATAACAATAACAGTACTAATATTGATAATAATAATAATAATGACAATCATAATCCTAATAATAATAAAAATAATAAGAAGAAGAAGAATACTAATAATAATAATAATAATAACAATAATAATAATAACAGCACTAAGAAGGCATTGGCATTGAGGGATCCCGTGCCTTGTCAGATTCGGGCTGGGCCTGGCTTTGACTTGCAACCCATCTCCTGGCAGCAAAGGAACAAAGTTTAGGGTTTAGGCAACAAAGGAACAAAGTTTAGGGTTTTGGCAACAAAGGAACAGGGTTTAGGGTTTAGGGTTTAGGGTTTTCTTTTGCGCCCTAGGGTTTAGGGTTTAGGGTTTAGGGTGTAGGGTTTTTTTTTGCGGGCCCTGGGGTTTAGGGTTTAGGGTCCCTTCTTCATGCCATAAGGAACAGAGTTTAGGGTTTAGGGTGCAGGGTTTTGGGTCCCTTCTTCATGCCATGCGCTTGCCAGGAGCGGACTGACAGGAATCCAACCTACCCGGACAATCATGCCCGGGCTGCTGGCAGAACTTGCATTTTGTGTTGGGCTTCTTGGTGTTGTGAAGATGACATCTGGGAGGCCTCCCGCAGGACAAGCTCTGAAGATCTTCAAGGACGTCCCAGGTGGCCGATGGATCCCCCAAGGAGGGACCCGGTTCAACCCAAACAGATTTAGGCCGCCGCGTCTTCTCTCGAGGAGGCGTAGGCTCCCGAACTGGCTCGGGCTCCATCTCAGCCTCGCGTCGGATATCCAAAGAAAGTTGCCAAAAGTCACTTAGGGCCGTTTCGCGCCTTCGGTGGTACCCGCACGGCGTCTCGACTGCGGCTTCGCTCACGGTGCACGACACCCGGCGGGAGCCCACCCGGCGGGAGCCCCGGTGGAAGGACTTTAGGCTCCGGTATGACTGGTATGGGCCTCAGCTGCGTTCCGGTTCAAAGTGCGACTCAAAGAGAAAATCATGAACGAGCTGGTGCTCTCTCCGAGAGCGCGGCTGAGTGTCGACCTTTGGCGGCACCACAGCCGTGCTAGCTGCAGGACTCACCCCAGCACCTGGAGTTGCACATGGAACAGTCTCTGGCTAGCGGAAGTTCTTCCTCCTGCAAGGCTGCTATCATGCCGCTGACCCGAGCAAGCTGGACAACAAGTGAGGTCCCCGAAAGACGCAGATGAGATCGCTACTGCGGTCGGCTCCTTGTCCGGACGGCGACGGCGTCTGGGCGCCTGGGAGGTTGGAACAAAAACGCCGGAGTTTACTTCCGTCGGTCGTAGAGTCGTAGTGAGAGACAGGATAGTGTTGACTTTCTTCTGGCTATGAAGTGCAGTCTGGCAGTGTCAGCTTGGATAGGTGCCATGCACTGGCCTGGCATACCGGGGTTCATGCCCATGCCGGCGTTCATGCCCATGCCCATCATGGGGTTCATCGGCATGGCCATCATGGGATTCATGGCAGGCATGCCCATCATGCCCATCATGGGCATGCCCATCATGGGCATTCCCATGGGCATTCGCATGCCTGACAAGCAGCAGTTGCAATATGAACTTTGTCAACTTTGGCAAAAAAAAACCCTGTCTCTCGACTGGTCCTGCCTTGGCCCATGCCCATCATCATGTTGGGTACACCCATCCGGATGTTGTTGGCATTATTGCCACCGCCCTGCATTACCCGTGGATGCAGCCAGCAAGCTGCTCCACCTCGGCTCAAGTTGGCATCGTCGGCTCCCTTTTTCTGCGATGTCGGTCGGCTGGACAGAGCTTGGATCCCGACAACGGTGAAGACTAGCAGTTTGGCGTGCCCGCCCGTCCCGAGTGCACCAAGGCACTCTCTACTTACACAAACTGTTCCTGCGAGCCAAGCCGGGGCAGGGACCAGGCTTCAACATGCAACAATGCAACCGGCATCTGACACGTTACTTGTGGCTACTTCACTCCCCGAAGTTTGCTACAGGGCACAAACCTGCCCTTCAAGGATGCTCAGCCATCGTACACCCAAGATCAAAGCCGGCATGACGCTCTTGTTGAGATGCCGTGCCAACTCACCTGCCGATCCACGGCAGGCATACATGCAGCCGCACAAAGCACCAGCCGCACAAAGTCCTGACTGTGCGTCCTCGAGTATTGGGTACATGAAAGATCGGTTGAGGCGCCGGCTTTTGCCCAAGGCTTTGGACCATTCCAGCAATGTCTCGACCTGCTTTAAGCCAGCGTCGCCCAGCATCGACCGCAATCTTCAACAAAGTGCTGGGGCCGGAGCAATGCCACTGCTGCACACAGCCTGAAGGAGATCCTCAGACCTGAATCCGATCCAAAAAACTCGAGCGTTCTACGAACCTCTTCGATACGCCGGCGCTTGCACCGCTTCGGCCCGCTCAGGAAATCGTTGCCGCGTCCATCCATAGAACAGCATTTGTACGAAAACAACATTGCCCCAGTTCTCGCTCGAAGCGAAAGCCACATGTTGAAAGTCACATGTTGAAGGCCACATGTCGTTTTCATCGTCAGCCACGGTACTCACCAGCCTCTGACTCCGCGCCTGCAAATAGAACAAAACTTCCGCTCTGAAAGTGGATGCTCGAGCGCGTGTGCTCTGCACAATCCGAGAGTTTTTTCTGCACATTTCTTTACCACATGCGACCTGGCCTGAAATCTGAACACCCTTTGGGCAGCAAGAGAAATGAACTAAGACCTGACAAAAAGGCTGTCTGTGGCAGAAGTTGACGGCATGAATGGAAGTCCGAAACGGATGCGGCGCGAAAGGACGTTGGTTGGCACTGGTCTGACATGGATGCAAGTCGAAAAACCAGAGCGGTTATCAGGGAGTTGAAGCGTAACCTGCCACCCGAAATGTGTGCGGCAGGCACACATGGCCACGCGGAGTTTTACAAGGGACCTCCCAAGCAAGCGGCCTGGAGAAACGGAGTCAGACAAGACCAACGACTTCGTGGCGCTTCTTTTGCAGGGGGGCTGGAGCCATCTGCAGCAATACTTCGGAGTCCACAACAAGTCGAAGCCGATAGAACTCCAAACTCCGGGAATCCGGCAGCTCACACGTTGAGCCGAAGCGCTCCTTCTTCGTGGTCAGCGTCTCCTATCAAACTGGGCGTGGGCGGGGTTTGGCCTTCCGTTCCCCACTGTCCTTCGTCTGCGAATCAAAAGCCGGGTTCTCAACGAGGCAGTTCACGAAGACCCACAAATGATTCTTCACCTTTTATCTCTTAGCTCTACGTACGGTCATCCGGGAACTTTCAACTTCAAGACACGTTGCACCAGCTCTTGCCATATTCAGCTCTCGTTGCTCCCATGGCGGTTGCACTTAGACTCACACGTGCTGTGGCTTCACGGCCAGAGTTCCCTTGGCCTCGCTCCAGACACGAAGGCCGGATCCGATGAAGAGTGCGGACTCTGAGCTTGGGACCCCTTTCTCCTTGGCCACCTCCTCCATGACTGCGGCAACCACCTGAGGTTCTGGGAAGATCGAACCAATGCCGTGAAACTGCACGCGAATCCTTCGAATCATGCACTTTCGAGGTACTCTGCATGCGAGCACGCGTGACATTCCGCTGCGGCTCCCGAAGTGAAACATGAGACAAGGAATTTCCATTGACCAGCCTGCTCCGCCACACAGTTCACGTGCGTGCCTCCTCCGGTTGGGACTTTCCATCACTTTTGGGCCCCAGAAACACATCCAGTCTCTACGGCATCCTCGACTGGTGCAGATGGAGTTCACGAAGCTGACTTGCCGGAAGCCGCTGCCTCGGCAGCAAGGCACGAAGCCCTTTCGGCGAATTCAACAGCAAGGCAAAAGCTCGAACAGAAAAGCCCGAACTGCCAGAACTGCTGGAATCTGGTCACTCCCTCGGCGCTTTACACACTGCATCACACTGCAAGAGCTCCGGCTGCGGCCGTCTGTCAAGGCGATAGCCACCTCCCATCTGTCGTTGCAGACCTCAAAGTAGCCATGGTGGGCTGCCAGCAAGGACTGTTCACGCTGGCCTCGCTGATTCGGAAATCATCGGGGTCTAGGAAGAGACTGACGTAATCCTGCAGCTTCAGCAACTTTTGCTCACCCGTGATGGCTTGACCGCGTCTTTCCTCGAAGGAATCCACCTCCAAGCACTGCCCGTTCAGGAAGACCTTCGCCAAGAGACGTCATCATGCAGAAGCACACCATGTGTCTGTTGAATCGCTATCATGACTACCGATTGCCGATATTGACGTGATGGCATCCAACGGAGTGATGGAACAAACACAAGCTCGGCTCGGAAGGTTAGACTCTTTTGAGGACGGTTCCTCACAGCGTCCTCGCGTCGAAGCAGCGACATCGTACGCACGTCGCTCCATCAAAGCCACGATGTCGTCCTGGTTTCTCTGACCCAAGACCACGCGTCGTCTGAAGCTTTCCTATAGTTTCCTCCAAGTGGGTCATGCCGAACCGCTGCAAATCCGGCTCGAAGGTTACTGCTGTGAAGTCCTGCCAGCTGATTTCATTGCCAGCTGTGTGCCAATCACCAACAGTGGCCTTCCCCTTATACGGTACGATCTCTGGCTCGTCCGCCTGCCTCCTGAGAATGCAAACGGGCCCCCGGCATATCGATGCATCTTGTGTCTGGTGTCATGGTGGCCCTGAGAGACAGAGACCAGTGCATGTTGTTGCCCCACTGCTGCCGATACTTGCTGCGGCCTGGCCCGGAGTTCAGGCAGAAAAGGGTTTCCACGATATCAAAGCTGCAGCTGAGCCGTGCGCTTCCGGAATCAGCAGTCTCGACGATGAACCTCTTGGAATAGATGTTGGTGAGCTTGGCTCCATAGCCTCAGCAGCAGCATTGACATCTCAACAATGTGCACCTTAACGGTGGGCTCGTCTCAGACTCATGCCATTCCGACCACCAACGACTTTCTTCTCACCTCACATGCACCGAGCAGCTGGAAGTTGCTAGACAAAGAGGCCGGATTCATTGATACGTGGAGCACCGGCAAAATAATGAGGACAGAGCGCCGCAACTCGCTGTGCAATACTACGAGTACCATTTCAAGACATCGAAAATCCTAGCCTCTGGCAAATGGTTGAGCCGAGCAGACTGAACACTTTTCGGCTCAACCTCGATTCTTGCTCCATGCATCCAGATCACTGTCGTCGTAGTTGTCGCTGGTCAGCAGGTGGCCGAAAACCTCAGACTATTTCCCGAAACACTCCTCCCAGGCAGTTCTGAGCTAAACGCCAAGCAACCGCAAGAGCGTACTCATCAAGCTTTCATGTGTGTCTACCAGTGTTCAGCATCAACAGCAACTCCTGAAATAAAGGGAATGAAGACATGCTTGTGCGAAAGATGTAAGCACAAGGCTAATGTCGGCACATAGCAACGGTGTTCCTTGTGCACCTTCCAGCTGAGCCCACAAAGGCTTTGGGAAGGAACTCGTCCGTGGCTTGACAACAACAAACGGTGCCTGAACCGGAAGTCCCCTGCCATTGTTCCAGATCTCAGCACATGTGCTGTGCGAACAGAGCCACACATGCCGTAGTTGGACCGTGACTGAGACACATACCGAGATGCGCGACTGTTTCTTGTTTATGTCAACCTGGCACCGACATGCTGCTTAGAGTTCAGGATGGTGTGTCTAGAAGCTTTCTGGTCTAAGCTCTAGGCAAGTCGTAGTACTCAGCACGAATGAACCCTCATGTGGCCTTGATGGTGTTCATGGATGGATCCCGAATCAAGTTGTCCTCTCCGGAGCATTCGGTCCGAAGGCAAGTGCCAAAAGTGCCCTTTTGGTTCTGCGGCGGTCCGCGGCATTCACGAGAATCTCATCGAATATCTTGTAGAGAGCGGGCCTGGCCCCAGATTCTCAGAGGTCTCCTCGAAAGCTCGACTGTACTCAAAAGCTGGGCGGCAGGCACGTAGTCCACCTTCCTCCGCACCATCCTTAACTCACTTAACTCTCTTCTAGACTCCAGCTCGCAGCTCTCTCGTACCGACTCTTGGCCACAGGCCTGGGAGCAGAGCCACTGCCTGGCTGAAGCCGACCACTGCATGCAGAAATACGGCTTCAGAGAAGCCATGCCGGAATCGCTGCTGCTCCCTCCAGGAAGAGTCCACAGCTCGAGCTGCTGCCGCTCGACAGAGCCTAGGCAACAGCACTCGAACGTTACAAGATCACTTTACCGGGCAGCAGAATCTAACGGAAGCACGCGAGTAGGTCCCGCAGCTTGGCATGGAGTACCGAGGCAGCGGCCCACATAGCTGTCAGGCCCTTCGTGTGCCAACACGGGCAACGCGACTGCCATGTAACACGCAAGTGGGCTCAGCTTCCCGCGTAGAAGGATGTGTTCCAGCTGCGTTTTCTTCTGGTAGATCTGCTCGACAGTCTTCCTGGCACATCGTGCTTGAAGCCTCTGCAAGCTACTTGTATGAATCGGCTGGACAGGAACGACACACCTCATCTCGAGATGCTTCAACTTGGATCTGCTCGAGCACCCAGAAGCGCTGAAGCGGCGGAAAGGTGTACCCCACGCTATGAGAGCTGCATCCGGACCCTGCACCCGACACCAAGCCCGGTGATCAGTGGAATCCGTTACACGACACCGTCTCCCGCACCCTCGAAGCCGATACCTGCAGTTACTTAAAGGATCATGGGACCTTGTAAGTAACGAAGGTAACTATACTTATAATCCCAATCAGGGGACTTATAACCTTACTTACTAAGTCCCATGGTCCTCCAAGTACCTCTCAAGACAGCCTGCGCGGTCGTTCAGACCCAAGTACAGTTACAGAGCGAAAGAGACCAGCATGACACGCAAAGTGCATGCCAGTGTCTCTTGCTGGTCTTCGTAGTGATTCTCGAGCGCTTCGGGGTAGGCTCCTCCCAGACACCAAAGGCAAAATCGGTTGCTTGACCTTCTTGCAGTATTGCACTATACATAGTACGTTCGGGTTATTCCTTGTCTGAGTCTGGGCTGGCCGAAAGTATCATGCCTGATGCCTGCCTCAATTGAAGGTCTGGAACACAGGGCGTAGGTTCTACCGTCTGCAAGATCGCATAAGCTTAGCTGCAGTGTCCCCGTTGCCGAACACACCTGGGCGTGAAGCGCCTGGAGCCGTTTACTAGAAGATGGTCCTCAGCCCCAATTTAGGAAAGTCCAGGCCCGGGCCTCTGGCGAAGATGCATCGGGCATGGGAGATGCCATTTTCGAAGCCGGCCGGGAATGTGACTGGCAGTATTGGCTTCACAGGCTCACATCTGCATGCTAAATTGGAGCCATCCTGCCTTCGGAGTGAGGAGCTCCCGCCTAGAGCCGAACAGCCGGGTCTGGATGCAGACTCTTGCTCGGCCCAAGCTCGGGTTCCCTGTCGCTGCCTCGACGACGTTGCCGCGCCTTCCTCCTCAGATTCGATGACCACCGCCTCCTCGTGTCGGATGCGACAGAGGGTTTGGGCGGCTTTTTATGTTTTTGGAGTAGCCTTGGCAAGCCGATTCGAGCTCGAAAAACTCAACACAAGACGAGCGGGGTACGATGGTGGGGCAAACATGTTGTGAGTGCTAGCGGAGTAAGATGCAACCCAGCTGAACCTCTCCTCCTTGTGATCCTTGACACGGCGTTGCCGCTTCAAGACCTCTTGCATGCTACTTTGTCTCCCAGCGTCGGCCTCGCAGAATCAGTCGCCAAGAGCTCAAAATCCATAAAAACCGCAAGCAAACCCAGCCGAGTGCGAGGAGTTTGCACCCGAAAACAGTTCGGTCGCCTTTGCAGGCGGACGAGAGGGCGAGGCTGCGCGCCTGCAACATTAAGCCCTTTATCATACTATACTATACTATACTATACTATACTATACTATACTATACTATACTACACTATACTCTACTATACTTTACCATCCTATCCTATCCTGTCCATCTTATGCTTTTGCTATGCTATACCATACTACACTATACTCTATCGAACTAAACTGAACTGTACTAACTATGCTAAGTACACTAGACTATAACGGAATAGACTATATTACACTATACTGGACTATGCTAGACTATGTTAGGCTATACTAAACTATACTACGCTATGTACCATACAAGAATTCAACCCAATACGATACAACACAACACAATGCAATGCGCTACATTTCTATGCTCTACTCTAGTCTACTGTACTATACTATACTATATGATACGAGACGCTATGATATGGTATTATGGTTTATGCAACTCAAAACTTGATAAGCGAGTCATTCCTCTAATGGCCGGGGAAACAAGATGGGAAGGCCACACCAGCGCATGGCCTCGATGATGTGCTTTTTAGTGCCTCCGGCTTTGAGGCGGCAGATGCCTGGTTGCTGAAAAACATCCAAGGCTGCAATTGGTCTCTTCAACGTTGCCTCGGCTGCGTCTGCTGGGGCACCTTGGCGCATCAAATAGAAACACGCAGAAACACGCTCACACCAGGGTGTAGAAGACAGATGACCCAAACACATGTCGCCGGCTGTGACCATGGCAAAAACAATATAAGCCCCTCACCTTTATTCTTGCTCTTCCGTACCATACTTGATGCCTGCACGGGGATATTGAGCTGCACAAAGCATCGCTAGGTTCGCTAGATGCCGGGATTCATCTGAGGAACGCACGTTTGTGGCGGGGCGCATGTCAACAGAAACACGTCCTCTGGCCACATCCCGATGCTTTGCATGAGCTGTGGCCCAAAACACCTACGTACCTGTCATTGCCTGGCTGTGACTTAGTTGCTCCAAGTATCGTAAACTGTGATCTGAAGGCTGTCTCTAGCTTGTAGCGACTTGGTCCAATGTCTTGTGAGATCCGGGGCGGTTGTCTGTTGCCAGCCTCTATGGATCTATCCTCAGACAGAAGAATCAAGACTTGTGCTGAAACACATGCAGAAGCATGATGCAGTCGTTGCTCCAACTGGCTTCCGGAGCATTCACAGCCGCATCCTCTGAAAACAGCTCTTTTTGCGAACGCGTGGAGAAGCCCCACATCTAAGGTGCATGGCCCAAGCTTGAAAAACCCCACAGCTTCCACACTCCGTAGAATCTCCACTCTGCTCCAAAGGGTTCAACCATGGGCCTGGCCGCTCAACGAATTCCACGGGATGAATTGTTCGCCTCTCTGCAAGGCAGCCCCATAGCCCCATCGAAACTCGGATCAATCCAGCGAAGCTCCGTCATCACTTATATATTTTGCAGAGATGCCACTCAAAAACTGCAGAGCACTGAGCAACTCGTTTGCTCTGTGTCACATCCTATCTAGATGCAGCGGAGGTTGGAGAAAGTTGAAGGAAGTTTGGCAGTCCTGTGTTTGTTTTCTTGGTAGCTTGTGCCAACCTATCCCATCCAGCTAACGCGTGAAACCTTCAGGCCCAGTTGCTGCTTGCAGCCGCAGTGGGCATTCGTGCAACCGGGCTTTGCAGAATCGGGGTCCGCAGAAAAGTGGGCACCCATCTAAGCAGCCCTGAAACGACCTGGCAACCCAGCAGCGCTTCAGGTTGAACTCTGAAGCCTCGTCCCGTCTATCCACCTGTTCGCTGGAGGGCGACACACGTGGAGGTCGAAACGTGCGAAGATCCGAAGCCGTTGTTGACGTTCCGTCATCTTTTGACGTTCTTAATCCCTCCTGGCACTCTGCATGACAAAACCAGAATCTGGGCTCCCCCGCTTCTTCTCACGAAGGGGAGCTCGGTCGGCGCGCATGGCAAAGGTCGGGCCTGAAGGCTTTTTTAAACGCCCCTCCCCAGCGGAAGATTCCGAGGCTCCCAAGGCTGCGGCCATTTTCAGAGCCTCGTGGGCCAGGGCCCCGGCAGCACTGGGGCCTGACTTGAGAGCGAAAGGATCCGCGCGCGCGCCGAGGCTTCGAGGCTCCGAGGCTCCGGCGCTGCTTGGGATCCAGGGTCAGCAGCAAGTCTGCGAAGGCCTGTGAGGCCGGCCTGAACAGGAAGAGCTCGAGCTCTTGAACCGTAACAAAACCCTGCAAGCTGCTTCTCTTCCCAACTTTCAGGCCGAGCTACGACGCATTTGGAAGGATTTGATCCATCTGCGCCTCAAGTCTGAGAAGGCATCTTCTTCAGTCTTATGACGGAGGACCCACACGGACCTTCGGGTGGGGAGTGAACTCCACGAAGTTCGGCAGGGAAGACACATCCTCGTTAAACATGCGATGAGGAGTCACTTCCCATGAGACCTCCACCTTCGAATCTGTGCAGAGGCACCGGAGCTCCATGCAGACGAGCATCCTTCCAAACTTCTTCCGAAGGCCTCGGCTTCTTAGGCGGCATGAGAGAGCCCGAGCCCGGCGAAAAGCTCTTCGAGCTTGGGATCCGGCGTCCCGCGCCGCTCAATGATCTTCTGCAGCATCTCAAACTCCCCGCGCCCCGGGAACATTGCCTGTTAGCCAGACACGTATGGCGCATCTGCCGAGAACTGGTGCCCGAGTACTAGAAACGTGGGATGCCTCCCGCATCAACATTTCCGCAACGACGCAGCCGCTGCTCCAAACGTCAACAGCCTCCAGAACAAACGCAGACAGACTTGTCCTGCGACTGTGGCTCAACCCCGTGGTGACTCGCATGCTCAAGAAGGCTCGCACGATCTGTGAGACTGGACAAACCAAGGCAAAAAAACAACCATACTATAAAAAGTCCAAAAGAAGGGCTGCACGCTGTCGTGTAGTGTAGTATGTGTCAGCCCGATGAAGAAACAGAAACGCTGGCAAACATAGTATTGCACTCTCGGCTTTTCAAGTTGAAGCTCAGAAACAGCAGCAGCAGCAGCAGCAGCAGCAGCAGCGACACGAGCAACACAAGCGAAAGTAGGAGCAGCGCAGGTTGCCACACCTAGGGCAAGTACGCAGTAAGTAGTAATCTACCCTGTCACACCAGAGGAAGCCAGCGGCAGAAGTAGAAGGTCAATACACTGTCAACTGTCTGAAGCAGGAACAGATGCCAATGTCATGCATGCCTCTGGGACCAACAATATCAGTCCAAAGACATTGACAGGACACGGGTTTGCACTTCTGGCCTGACCATAGTGTTTCGCACCGAAGAGCAATTCCGGCGCACGGTACCTCTGCCATAAAGACCGCTGTGGGCATCGAGTCTACACTTGTTCGAGCATGTTGGCCAGAGCCCCGGGGCTCTGGCCACAGAGTGGTACAAGACCCAGTCATCGGCCTGCGGGAAGCAAGGCTCTTGGAGCTTTCATCAAAGTGGGATGACCAGCAATCCAGACATCTGGTTGTGAAATCTACCAGCTTCCATCCCGCCATGCAGGCAGCATCGCTCTTTTCACCTCTCGCCTGGCTGTCGGAGAAAGGTTCGGACAGAACACTTCCTGTGGGCTTCGAGCAGAACCCCCGGAAATGCCACGTCAAGTAAGAAAGCATTGAAACTGCAATCGAATGTGAGGAGCCATCGCCAACCACACTGACGACGATAGACGTGTCATTGGCTCAACGACGTCCTAAGCACACTGGTACTCTCAGAAGTGATGCATGTGTGGTACAGTGGTAGCCTTACTCCCGTTTCTGCATGCACTGAACCTCGCTGAACTTGCGACTATTTCAAGTACCAGGCACTTGTAGTGCAGTCAGGTTCTCAACCGTAGCTTTGCGAAAGCCGATTCCCTCAATGCTGGAACCCGTGAAAGATTGTGCAGATGCGTCAGAGGGACAAAGTGAAGAGTCCTGGTGGCACATCACTTTTAACAATCACAAACCTCACGTCCTGCCTTGTGGTTGGTTCCTCCGGATCGACACAATTCCGGCAAGCCGGATAGAAGGGCAAACTGCTTTCTGGCTTGCAGAGGTTACCGTGGTTCGCACAAAGATCAAGTCTGCGTGCCTCAAATTGTGTCGAGATTGGAAGTATAGGGTGAATCAAGATCTCCCCCGAGCAGATGAGGTCGTTTCGACATGAAACAGGCTCCTTTCTTAGAGTGAGCATAAACTAGTCCGACTGAACAGCTGCACTCAGCAATCGCCTGTCTCCTGCTCGGCTCCCCAGGGTCTTCAAAGTCGACTCCGCCTCACTTCAGCATCTTGGCGATCAGAATGACGGCCTTGCTCTCGGTCAGTCTTACGCAATCTAGCGAAAAGATTGACGGCCAGTCATGTTGGGCGCTATCAGGGCCGGCCGGGACACGACATGGGACCTTGCAAAGAAAGTTACTTAAAATCCATTCAAGCTGCACCGAAGCCCACGGTCACCTTAGGCTTCGCCATGGCGAGCGTCCAAGCAGCAACGGATAAAACACTCTGCCACCCTTCACGGCCTGACTTGTCGTCATCTTCTGAACTGTGAATCCGACAGAGTTCTGCCACTGAAAAACAAGTTGCCGGAATGGCCACGGCCATCAGCCCCGAGTCAGCGCTGTAGGGCACATCCTGCAGAATCTTCCACAAGCCGCCTACATCATAGCCAGATACAGCGAGCGCATGGTGTCCTTGAACATAGTCCAGCTCTGGCCCGTCGAGTTTTGAACCTTGACATGCCAAACTATCAGATGCATTTCTCTTACCACATCTTTTCCCTCGAGTTGTCCGTAGTCGTCCATGCACCCACTTGCGGGCATCTTGCAGAAAGACACAAAGCGAGCCCACAGTACCCGGCTTGGATCGAGGACTTTAGATGACTTTAGACTTTAGAACAAATCGAGCTACTGGCACTCTGCAGCATGCGCACGTGTGGCAGGGCTTCTGCGATGGACACTGCTTGAAAGGCTAAAGCCGCGGCAAACCCGGTAGTGTACGGCACAGGGAGGCCTGCAAGCACACGCACACGAGGCAACACAAACCCCGAAGGAATACAACTGTAAAGCAAACCTTCTGATCCACGTCTCAGCCTATGTGTGGAGCCCAGCACCTCGCCTTTGGTGCGGGCCACGATGCGCTGGAAGGTGCGGGACACAGATGTGGACTGTGCCTTTGATGCTGGCCAGGTGTGTCGCGCATGAGAGATTACGAGACAAGGGACTTTCCGACCTCACTTCACCCGCAGTCGGTGAGCGTTCCAACAGAGTCGTCTAAGGTTTTGTCCTGTCCCGTTCCATTGCTGAGAAAGCCACCAACTCCGTCGCGGCTTCGCTGGGGCTCTGCCTTACTTCCCGGCGTGCAACAACGCCAGCAGATGACGGATTGGACAAAAACACACGATTGCTAAATGAGGTCAAGGCATGGCGTTCCGGGCAGCACTGGTCCAGGAAAGCAACGTCAGAATGTGAGTCGTTTGGGGAAACGGCTGCGCAACTTGGAGAGTCACGAAGCCTTTCATAATACTGCAGACCGGCCAAGTGGGCATCCAAGCTTCGGAACATGACGTGGGGACCTGTGGCAGGGCATGGCGTGCCTGTCGTTGTCCTGGCCGATGATGCGCGCGAAGCCAAAATCGCTTAGCCTCAGTTGCAGGAGCTCTCCGCATCGCAGAAGCGATCCTGTTGCCCTCAGATACACTGGTCCGATGCCAGGTGTCTTGCTTGGCAACTCCACTCTGGAAGTTCAGGAGAACCTGACAGGCGGTGAAAGGCTTGGCAGGACAGCGATGGTCACGCTGGGCCACTGGCATTGTTTGGAGTAACATCTCGGTGGACAAAGAAGCGCTCGTGAAGCGCACTGAGGCCTGGAGCTACAGTCGCGGACTGCATATGGCACCTCATCCCACGGGCCCGGACCCTGCAGCAGCTGCTTCGCCAGGCACTTGCAGTGTGCCTCGCACGACCATCGAACATTCCCCGTTCACCTTTCGCCCCAAGCTTTGGACGAAAAGCGCGCAAAGTCTGAGAAACAGAAAACAAATGCACACATCGAAACGAGCCAGCTGCATGGTCACAAGCTGAAAGGCTCGACTGGTTCACTACTCATTGTTACTACATCACGCTGGGCCCAAGCTGAATCTGACTCCTACAGCCAGAGCTCTGACAGCACAGAGCAAACAGGACCTCGGAGAGTGCCAGAGCTTTGTCCTGTCACCAGATGAAAGATGCATCGACAGCTGCACATACTACATACACATGCACATACCCATTCATCTATTCATCCATTCATCGATTCATCGGTCCATCCAGTCATCCCATCCATTCATGCATGAGTTTGTTCACCGATGTGTATACAGCTCTCTGTACATGCAAAAGAGATACGAAGCGTGCTGAGAAGTTTTTGAAAAAATGCAGGGGTTGCTCTGCCTTCGTTTCATCCATGGCACTCACTGCAAGCTGCCTCGATGACCTTCTTCAGGTCACCATCCATGTACTCCATTACTAGATGCCTGGGCATATGTCGGCATTTGCGCACCAACCGGAGACATGTGGAAGTGCTTTACATGTCGACCCAGCTCAAACCTTTCGACCAGGGCACAGGATGCCACGTTCTGCAAAGACATCCAGGCCTGAGTAGAAATTGGTTGAGACAGCCACAGAGACCTGAACGAACTAAAGACTCAAGCCCCATGTCTAGCTATCGCAGTGCAGGCAGAGCTATCCCTGGTGCAAATAAAGCGCTGGTGGCTTTGTCTTGCTTTAGTCTTTGGCAAGCGCACACTACTGTAGCCGGTATGAAGCCTCACTAGCGTTGTCAGCTGAGAGCAAAGTCGAGCTTAAGTCATGATTGCAAGACAGTCCCTTTGGCCCCGTGCAGCCCATGACATTTGGATGGCGCACGGCCTTCATCACCTCACAAGTGTGTTCAAGAACGAGATGCTAGAAGTGGTTGGCACACGATCCTAAATGACATGAAACGACGTTCTCTCTGCGTCTTGCACAGCCTGCTCTTCGTGTTTGGACCGGCTGGGAACGATGGAGCCATCAGCGCTCAAGAGAAGGTGCCTTGATTTCTCGGAGGGCGGTGAAGCCGACTCCACCGATGTCCCGGTCCACAGCCGAAACCTCCGGTCGAGTTCGTGCGGACACGTGGCTTACATGTAGCCAGGGACGTGCCCCAAGACGGCCTTCGCTTTCTTTATAGCGACCACTTGGGCAGACTTGGTGTGGAGAGCCTCGCAGGGGCAGCTGAGACAGCATGCGCACGTCACCTCGCGTCACCTGGCTTGTTATGCTTGAGCCTTGTGCACCTTGCCGTAGGTACCTTCGCCAATGTTGGACTCGAGCCGCTCGTACTTGGACGCTGGCGAGGCCTTCGAGAACTTCAGAGCTTTCAGGCTACAGGTGCCATGGGCTAACGGGCTGGTCCGGGCCTTCACCGACTCAGCAGGAGAAGCGACAGAGTGCAATGACCCAGGAGACACCGCCTGCATCTTAGAGTACAGTCCTATTTCTGTCGTGAAATTTTTGGACGTGCCCCGACCTGAGCCCTTCGAGCGATCGCAGGCGAGTCGACCTGGTCTGAGGAAGGAGTCGAGCTGAACTAGAAGGGGAGGAATGGAGTGAAGCAAAGGCAAGGGCAAGAGAAAGAGACGGAGAGACGAAAACTTCCAGTGAGGGGTTGGGCTAGGGACAAGAGAACCTCGGATTTTCCATCCTCGACATCTGTCAAAAACACTTCCTCCGCGAGCTAAGAGCATGCAACTCACTTCTGGGGAGGATGCCCTCATTTCACCCACAGCTTCACGTCGGGGGTTCTGCGCTCACTTAGTTGGTAATGTAGTTTCCTTTCGAGCATGTTGTGTCCGTGCGCAGATGCTGAGAGTACTGAGCTTGCTCTACAGTGATGTTGTTCCAAGGCTTCCGATTATGACAGCCAAGCCCAATATGTTCTGTCAACACAGAGATATGCTGATCAAACATCATTCGGATTCTATCTTCGTTAATAACCTTTGGGACCGTGCTGGCATTTGCCCTGACGGCCCAACTCTCTTGAGCCGCGCGAATGCTGCAGGGCATACTCCGTCATCAAACTGCAGCAACTGACAGGTGTACGGGAGCAGCGCAAGCAGCTTGTCGGCAGTCTTTTCGAATCCGCATACCAGGTTGTTATCATGAAGATCATCGAAACCCTTGTCCTGGAAAAGATGCCAAATCTCTGTCAAAATCTCCATCAGCGCGTAAGATCTTCAAACCATACGAACATACCCAAACAACAGGACCTGAGCATGTTTTAGGTCTGGCTGCACCCGAGAGAGTTAACGAAATCAGGAGCAAGACTGAGCTGTGTGATTCATGATGTTCGATCTGTCTTGGTTGCTCTCGCCATGCGCAGGTGCCGCCAAGGATCCCTACATGCTGGCAAGGCTACAAAGCTACATGCGCCGTGGTGAAAAACAACTCATCGGATCATGTCACATCACCTGCGTCCGCAAATTCAACTGTCACGCGCTATGGAAGCCAGCAGCTTGCTAGTGGAGGGGGGTTATGTGCAGCTGCAGGCTGCTGAAGCCTGCGTGGCTTTGTCGTGCATGGACACTGTTCGACATGAATCCAAAGCCCTAGCGAGACTTGCATCGGTTGCTAAACGCTACGACGCGGTAGACTGCGCCGCCGTGCTGCCTCTTTAATGGCCACCTTCCTCTGCAGCGGCGCTTCCCTGGTACTTGTTGTGGGCATAGTTGATCTCACCGCGCCTGCTAGCAGACGCTTCCCACCCAAAGGCTCTCGCACTATAGGCTCACTGAGACGGAACAACGGCACCAAATTGACACTTGCTCCAGCCACTGCCTGATGTTGTGGAAGTAGACACCGCTCAGCAAGGCCTTCCCGAGTAAACAGTGCAACATGTTGTCCGGAAGCATGCTGGAAAGATCAGCTCGGCCCGGCGCGCAGGTCCAGACCAGCGGAATCTGCATGCCAAACATGGGCTTCAGGCCCATGGACCTTTTGCTCGTGTCCAAGATGAACAAACCGACCAATGTTTCTGCATTTGCACGGCCCGCAAAGCTGCCCAACAAAAAACGTCGTCCTGGACTGCCACAGGCTTCCACTGCATCTCTTACAACACAGTTCTCATGTATCAATCTCAAGCGGATCACTTGCAAACGTTGAAGCCATCGCGGATCAAGGTCAACCTCAGGATGGATGTAAGAACATTGCCATGATTCGTGCAGAATCTACTCAGACTCGATGTAAGAACGGTAAACGAAGGAAACGAACGTGGTTTGCCGAAACTTAATTATTATGAGCGCAGACAGTCAGGTCAGAGATTGATTGGACGAGTGATTGATTGACTGAATGCTTGCTTGCTTGTTGGCCTGTTCAGATCGATCGATAGAAATAAGGTTGACAATCTGCCGAGTGATTGCTCGCCCGAGCTATCAACAAACCAGCACCTTCTTCCGACGCTCTGGTCATCTGGACCGGAGGATTCCTGGAGTCTTCAAACTTACCATAAAACAAGAATACGCCTTCGCCAACGATTCAACACTCCTAGTCTGCTCATATTCCTATACAGACTCCCTAAGCTCAGGTCAACCTTGTATAACATGCTCACCAAGCCACACCATGCTTCCAAACGTCCAGCTCGGCCCAAACGAAGCAATACTCGGGAGCTTTTAGCCACGGTTGCTGCAGGAACAACAGAAGCTCATCTTTATGAGAAAACAACAAGTGTGCTCAGATGGTGTACAACACGTAATTTTGAACATTGAACAAAGGCCTTTTTTCAAAGCACATCGACAAGCTTGCGATGGCGTTTGTAACTGTGCCTGGCTTCATTGATGGACACACCAAAGCACACAATTTCACGTGTCGTGTTCTTGTGGCAAGCAAAGATTTGACACCATGGTTCAAATTCCAAATTACCGCAACAACAAATGGTTCCGTTTTTCGGATTTGTCGAAACGACATCAAGCATCGAGCTCCACGTCGCCATGTCGCCCGCCTCTGGTCGCCGCCGTTGATGCTCAATCCTCGCAGTAACCTGCATCCGGACATGTTCAAGGTTGGAAAACAAAACCTTTCGGATCCTTTACTTTACGGAGAATCGGTTCGAGACGACGTAGCGATGTTTTTTTTGGCGTGGTCAGGCCTCGTCGACGGCGGCTGCCGCACTCGGTCCTAAGGGACTCTCTCTTATATCCATGTTTC